AAAACACACATAGAATTGGGCGAGGAAAATGAACTTTCTTAAAATGGATGATTTTAAACAAAACTTCAACTATTTATAGGATGTAAAACATTAAAAGACTTCATTAATAACTTAAAAACATCAATACTTAAGTAAATACATACGAGATCTCAAGATACTTGGAAAACACAAAAGGTTGTTAAAATTCAGGTACTTTCTGTATACTGGACAATCTATGGAAAAGCGTCATAATTTTCTCTACAAAACTCCATAAGTATTGTCGTTTTTTTAATTGAAAATTACACATCCATAGATTTCCAAGCATATAAGAACATGTTATTTGGACTCTAGATCATTTCATACTTTTTTTGTTGAAGTTTTTTGAAAAACCCACACAAATTTAGGGATGTCAAAAAGTCACGTGGGGGCCCCGAACCCGTGGGACCCTGATCCCGTATGGGGGAGATTTGTTTACAAATTCGAGGGCGGGGGCGGTGACGGGGGCAAGGTTTACCCCGTTTTAATTTCGGGAGCAGGGGCGGGGATGGGCAGTCCCGTCCTGAACCCCCAATGGGGGCCCCGTTAATATATATTTTTACATTAATATATATTAATTATATAAATATAATAAATAATAACAATGATTTTGAGCTTCCAAAATTCAACAAACTAACATGTTTTTAAGTTGTCAGTATAATGTGTTTGAGATGTTATATTATTTTTGTTTTTAACATTTAAATTATGCTATAAATAACAAATTTTACCCAAAAAATAGCTTATTTTAGCCCAAAAAACTTCTTTTAGCCCAAAAAATAGTTTATTTAGCCCAAAAAAAAAGGACAGTTCAAATGGGGGCGTGGAAACGGGGGCGGAGGAATTTTGGAGGTCGGGGTTGGGGATGTAATCCCACACTTGTTTGCCCCTGTTGACATTCCTACACAAATTTGAAGAAAAAAAACTTTATTAAAATTTCTAAATATCCTTGTATGACCAAGTGGCAAGCGGTGGTCTTTCAATATGAAATATTTTGTTGTTGTTGTTAACACTTGCTGGCAATATAAGTTGATTCAAAAGTAAAAAATTCAAAAGTTAAAGCTGATGATCTGTGTTTTATCCACCTACTGCACCTGCTCTGGTTTTCATGTTAATACCGGTATAATGGACAACAACCCATATTATTCTACTTATTACCAAAATATAAATTTCTAATTTCTAAAATATTGCAAAGTACAAAGAAAATTTATGTTAGTTAACACTCTTTTTTTCAAGTCTAAATCTAAAAGTAAATTTTAAGAAAAACTAGAAGTATATCATATTAATATATCCGATTTTTTTAAATACTTTTAGATTGAGACTTGGGAATGCTACTGTATACTAACATAAATTTTAAATGGGAAAATGACTTATCAGGGTAATCATCTTTGTCGCTTTGTTCACATTTAGTTAACTTCTTTATTTTTGTACACATTTGACAATTTAACTTGTTATATGTGTTCACATATTGTCATTGTCACCGGCTATAGCAGATGACAATAGTAATTTGTGAACAAATTAACAATTTAAATGGTTAAATGTGTACAAAAAAAAGAAAGTTGCCTAAATATGAACAAAACGAAAAGTAAATTACCCTAATAAGTTATTTCCCCACTTTTAATCTACGATTTTATTTTTCATATTTGTGTGTATTATTTTTTTCAAAAGTTATTTTTAAAATATTCATTATTTCCTAAATATTAATTAAATATTGATTAATTTTAAACTTTACTTTTTAATTAATAAATATGTTTTTGTTTTGTGAAATATTTTATATAGCTTATTATAATTTTTTTTTCTTTTGTTTTTAAGCATATACAATATTTTTAAAGTAAATAGTATCTAACAGTAAAATTAAATAAATTAAATATGTAACAATAAGCATGAAGGGTTTTTGTAACGTCCCAAAAATAAGACCTAAAAGTTTTATTTTCCGATTAATAAAAGCAATATCCATAAACATCATCATAAATCCCAAATGAAACAAATGTATCAAAACATCAATTAATATCAGAGTTATCATGAAAGTACGGAACAATATCGTGTGTGCACTACAATCACCCCAAGCTCTTCCCTTTTGCACCAGAAGTATCTGAAACATAAACTGGAAACCGTAAGCACAAAGCTTAGTGAGTTTCCCCCCAAATATGACATACCACACATATCATAAATATAATGGGCCCCACCCGAGGATGTAACGGGCCCCACCCGATGATGTAACGGGCCCCACCCCAACTCGTATGTCGGGCCCCGCCCACTGAGTATAACGAGCCTCGCCCTAATTCGCATAACGGGCCCCACCCACTGAGTATAACGGGTCTGGCCCTAACTCGCACAATGGGCCTCGCCCAACATACAAACATACAAGTATAACAAATAATAGCATACATATTATCCATTGTGCCCCGCCCACTAAGCATGCAAACGCATACACATGCAAGAGTCACGCATACATCTAGCACCCTAACCTAATAGAGTAAATTACACGACTGGTCCCTATGGTTTGGGGTAATTTGCGCGTTTGGTCCCTAACTTATTTTTTTTAACTCGGAAGGTCCTTATTGATTGTTTTTATTACATGCTTGGTCCCTATTGTTTGTTTTTGTTATGCGCTTGGTCCCTGTTTTACCTAAAAATACTATTTTACCCTTGATTTTTTAATTTATTTAAATAAACATACCCCCAACCCCACCCCCTCACCTTACCATACCTAAAAAAAGTTAGGGACCAAACGCGCAAATTACCATAAACCATAGGGACCATTCGTGTAATTTACTCAATCTAATAAACCAGGGGTATAGATTGGTGCCTTCCACCAGCTAAATATGGTGAGGAAGACTCACCTCAGACTGCTGAAACTCACAGATAAATCTCTAGCTGCTGGTCCGAAAATCCCCGCGCTATCATCATAAAATAACATCCAATTAATAATTGGATCCCGACTCTCACTAAGAGTCCAAACTATGGTAAAATACCATTTTACAATTTACCTAACTTTGGCCAAGGCCAAAGCCCAAACCAATTACTAAAAAAAAGCCCAATTCTAAAATAATCACCCAAAGCCCAAAATATGGTCCAATCTTCCAAATTAGGCCCAACCCCTTCGTGGGCCTCATCCAAAAGAGTCCAAACTAGAAATATGATGGCCTAACAAAGCCCTAAACTCCTAAGGTCCACACATGGCCCAAAACCGAGAAGCCTAAAACCGAAGCCCATCTGCTGAGTACGCTGTACACTGGGCGTACTCAGCTCGTACGCTTAGCGTGCATGCTCTGGGGCTAGTACGCGCAACGTACCAGCTTGTACGCCCAATGTACTCCCCAGTTGGCCACCCCACATCATTAAGCACTTAATCCGTTCATCCCTTACTCCATACTCTTATATCTTGTCTCAAAAGATGATTTATCACGTAAAGTTGGCAACTTTACGTGTATGCATGGCTTAATGGGGCTCTAGAGCTCAAAAGAGCTTAACAAATGATCTTAACACATGCATGAGTCCATATACACCATAAAGTTTGCATTTTTATGCTTAAGGGACCCCTAAAATGTCCAGATCTAAAAGGTTACGCTTCAGAAACGGTCTTAACTCACAAGAACCAACCAAAAGGGACCAAAATAGCCATAAACAAGCCTAAAAGAAGATCTATACAAAGAGTTGACAAGTTATGGACTTTATACCTCAAAAGTCACGAAATGGAGGAGCTAAATATAGATCTCTAAGCTCTTCTCCAAAGGATGAGTCTTCAATCTTTTTCTTCTACCACTTCAAGATGCACAAAACACACCAAGGATCTTTACAATAGCTTAAAAGCACCAAACAAAGGCTAAGGGACGAAATTAGGGTCTGAGGATATGGAGGCTGGTTTAAAATGTCCAAGAGGTGGATTAAAGAAGTTTAAATAGGGCACAAACCCTAAAATTTACGGTTTGTCTGAAGCCAGCACACGCCCAACGTAACCCACGTACGCCCAGCGTACGTGGTCGATGCCCGCGACCATGATCTAGCTAGTACGCTAAGCATACTCATAGAGTACGCCCTGTGTACTAGCCAGAGGACCAAAATGTAAGAATTTTTGTTTAGCAAGGGTTAAAGGGAAAACTTACAAGGTCCGAATGTTACAGTTTTTTAAAAAAATAAAAAGAAAATATTACGTAGCAAATATATATATATATATATATATATATATATATATATATATATATAATGTAAATGTTTTAAAATTATTTCAACTTTTTAATACTTTTTAATTAGAAGTTTATAAACTTTTAATTTTTTTAATACAACATTTAAACTAGTATTTTACGAAAGTATTTTAAAATGTTAAAAAATATTAAATTGTCATACAAAATCTATGAAACACTTTAAAAATATTGTAAAAGAAAGTTTAGAAATAAATGTATGAAAGTTATAAAAAAAATTGTATGAAAATGTTAAAAAAAAAAAAGTTAAAAACTTGTAAGAAAAAATTTAAACATTTATAAAATATTTGGTTTAAAAGCATTTGTATTAAAATTATATGAAAGTACAAAAAAATTTTAAGCAAATTTTAAAACATTGTATTAAAAAACCTATAGGAAAAAATATCATAAAAATGTTGTATGAAATTATAAAAAATCTTTAAAAATTTATTAAAAAAAATTGTTCATATTTAGACAATTTTATTTTTTTATACATATTTGACCATAATTAAATGGTCAAATGTGTATAAAAAATAAAATTACTTAAACCTAAACAAGACGAAAATATAATTAACATAACAAGTCATTTTCCCATTTTAGTTTATAGTTTGCAATATTATTGAAAGTAAACATTTATATTTTGGTAATAAGTTGAATACAATGGGCCGCCGACATCTATTATTAGTAATCACTTCAAAACTTCCTAAATCGTCACTTGAGTATGATGTTATGTGGGCTGTTGATATCATTAAGCCCAATAGAACTAAACATTGAAAACGATAAAGCCCCATAAACTCTATTGGAATACGAAATGATAATCACTTGATCATTGCAACGGAAAATATCAGTTGTGGTTGAATGGCGTCCAGTCTTCTTTCTCCGGCCGCCGTAAACGTCCAACACCATCCTAACTCATCGATTTTCACCGCTGCAGTTCCTTTACTTCCTTCTATCCGTTTCTTTTCATATAGCCATTGTTCTGGTAGTAAAATCGTATCCTCACAACCTTCTTCTCTACATCCGCCACGGAGTTCCAATTTATGGCTTCGCCGGTGCGGTGCATCGAGCCCTCATCCGCCTTCTCCTCCGGAGTCTGGACCACCTCCTGGTGAAGATGACGATTCTAATTCAGGTACAATGGTTCTTGCTCTTCTAAATTGTCCCGTATTATCAACAAATTCAGCGTACATATGGCCTAATTACTTTTCCTAGGGTTCGTGCTTATCCTTTATTTATCGGAAATTTGTGCGTTTAGCAGAATTTAGGCATGTTTTACAGCTACAGTTTGATTATGGTTGTCAAAAGGATATTTTTCATCTTTCAAAATTGATACGGATTTGGAACTCTTAAAAAATTCTAGGTTAGACATCAAAATCAATTGCATATCTCCTTTTCGGGGGATGAAGGAGGGTATTCTGCAATCTGCATAGTTATCTAGGCAACTCTTAAACTAACTTTCATTTTCAAACAAGTTATCATAATTAAGTATTCTGCAATCTGCATAGTTATCTAGGCAAGATTGATGACCCTTTTTTACATGAGAACCCAAGAAGCTCAGTTAAAAGTATTGTACGTTGAAGTTTGACATTACTTCCATCTGAAAGAAGGCTTGATGTCAATAGCTATTTAATCAATGAGACATCCACCTTCTCATCATCAATTTTGAACCTAAATTAGGTTTTTAAATGGGCTAACCTGTATGTGATATCAGCTGTAATAAATATTGTCATGCCCATGAAACAGGTTCATTGGTATCTTTTAGTAGATTTCAAGAAAATGTTCAGATTTTTTTTGCTGTTCTTTTCTGGATGTCGCTCTTCTTCTGGTCATCCGCATGGGATGGAAGGAATAATGGCAGATCCGACAAGGGACCAAAATTCTGGAAATGAATTGTTAAACATTTAGATTGTATATATAGCATGATAAAACTAGGTGTATTATTGTAATAAAACAACAGCAAGTAGCCACCACTATATTTACTGTCGTATAGCTACTGTAATATCATGTATAATGTACAAGTTTTGCTGATTTCCTTCATTTGTTCTCATACTTAGTTCCAAGATTTTCCGGTTTATAGTCCCAAATTATATATAATAAAAAATAACTCTAGCAAGAAACCAGAGCAAGAAAACGAAAATTACAAAAAGGTCTAAAGGGTGTTGCAACTAACAAACCAAATTTGTAGAGCATTTACTATTTCTATTACTAAACCACAAAAAAGATAACTTATTTACTGAATCCACCGCATCATCATTTATGATCCTATTTCCTGCAAAAACTTTATGGTTCTAAACTGTTAAATATACCAAATTGTGGTACAAGCAACCACATCTATAACTTGCTTCTTTTTAGCATTTTATGTATAGAGGCGGATTTTAATGATTTTTTTTTAAACATTAAATCAATATTTTAATTGTCATCATACAATGAGTGAGATGACAAACGGGCAACAAGATGTGTCGCTAAGCCTTTTTGAATGGTAAAGCTAATTCATTTAAAGACTACATCCGAAGATCTAGGGAATATAACATTACTATGCATAATTCGTTGTACTCTTTTAAGAAGCTCTACCGCATCCGGTGCGAGGAAACCAAACGTATCAAATGCAAATGGTATGAACACGTGTTGATTTTCCATGCACGACTTCTCATGTTTGGTGACTTTGCTTGTAGCTGCTTTTAAAACAGCATGTCTCGCCGTATTACAAATAATCCAAATAGTGTACTAATATGATAGTTAATACTTTCCCGTTTCAAAATTATTTATTTTGAAAAAATAAATAGGGTATGCAATATTTATTTCATTGTATTACAAATAATCCAAACAGTGTACTAATATGATAGTTAATACTTTCCCGTTTCAAAATTATTGTTCACATATAAAAATCACACATATTAAGAAAATATTAATTATCATTAACTTTATTAAATGAAATGACAATTTTACCTTTTTGTTGCATTTAATTTTATCATTTTATTGTATTTAATTTTATAGTAGGTTAACTAATAATGAGAGATATTTTGGTAAAAGGGATATTTGTTTTTAAAAGTAAGTTGTTATTTTGGGACAAAAGTCAGATCCTTAGGCCTTTGAGTTGATGAAAAATGCATCTCATAAAAATTTGCATCCCGTGATTCGATAACGGTGTTAATCGAAACCGAATCATTAGGTTCTATTATATAAAACCTATATGCCTTGGAATGTTCAGCATATCCAATGAATATGCAATCAATTACACGTTCTCCTAAATTTATCTTCTTGGGCTCGGTGAGTTTTACAACTATCCGACATCCCCAAACCCAAAAATAACTCAAACCCGGCTTTTTCTTGAGCCAAAGTTCATATGGGACTGTTTTGTTCACTTTATTTGGAACCCTATTTAATAAATAGCAGACCGTTAACATGGCCTCTCCCCATAATCCTTCACTCAATCTCGAGTATGACAACATCGAGTTTACCATTTCCTTTAAAACTCAATTTTTGCGTTCAACAATACCATTATGTTGGGGTGTGTAAGGTGTCGTGGTCTCATGAATGATACCCACTGATTGGAAGTACATGGGATCCATATATTCACCTCCCCTATCAGTCCTAAGACATTTAACCAGAATGCCCAATTGCAATTCCACATCGGTTTTGTATATTTTGAATTTATCTAAGGCTTCATCCTTAGAATGTAACAAATACACATAGCAAAACCGAGTGCAATCATCAATAAAAGTGACTACATATTTTTTATTTCCCAAATAAAAAGTGGAGTGAAAATCATACAGGTCAATGTGTACAAGTTCCAAAACAACTGAATTTCTAGTAACACTAGGAAAGGGCTGTTTTGTCACTTTTGTAAGCATTCATGTTTAACATTTATCAGATGTCATATCAAAGGCTAGAATTAATCCATCTTTTGACATCTCATGCATCCTTCTAAAGTTAACATGACCTAATCTTACATGTCAAAGCATAGATTTATCAACATTAGAAGCATAAGTTACAAATGCAGAATTTTGAACAGGTATTAATTTGTCAACAATATTCAAACGAAACATTCTGTTATTTAAATATCCAAAGTCAACAAACATTCCACCCTTAGATAAAATAAACTTATCCAACTCAATAACTTGTTTAAAACCATTAGAATTTAAACAACTAGAACTAACAAGATTCTTGCGAATCTTAGGAACAAACAAAACATCAAATAACCTAATTGTCTTTCCAGAAGTAAATTCAAGAGACACGACACCAAAACCACAAATATGAATAAAAGAATTGTCTCCCATTTTCAGCATCGACCCATCTTCAAGCGGAGTTAATGTTTCAAACATCCGTTTATCCTTGCATACATGGTTCGTTGCCCCCAGAGTTGATCCACCAAGCAACATCGTCATCCTGTACATTGAATGATTCAGGAATAAATGAAACATAGTAAACATAATTCTGATTAAATTATCAAAGTTAGTCAAAAACTGACCTCCTTTAACTTGGGCCGAAGACCCGTTCACTTTCCCATTGGCTCCACTGTTTCCAGCACCATTGTTGCCTAAATTCACACGGCAATCACGCTTGCAATTCCCAACTTGATTGCACCTCCAACAAACCAGATCCTTTCTCTTTTTTGTTGGAGTTGCTTGGGACATGTTCCTGCTTGCGTTTGTCATGTCCTTTGTGGTTCTGATTCCTTGGTTTGTTATCAATCATATGAACTGAGGGTTGTCCAGATTCAACTTTTCCCTTGGGTTTATCAGATTTGTCACTTTCCTTCGCACGAAGAGATTCTTCAATACGAATGTGACTAGCAAGTTGAACCAAAGACAGTTCGTTTTTTTGATGTTTCAAGTTATGTTTGAATTCTTTCTAGGATGGAGGCAGTTTGTCAATGATGGTTGGCACATCAATGGATTCATCCATATTCTAACGGTGCAGTTTAAACTGACCGTATATGCCAAGGAGTTCATTGTATTGTTCAGTAACAGACCTTGAATCGTCCATCTTATAATTATTAAAGTCACTGACCAGAAACTTCTTGGTAGAAGCATCCTCAGTGATATATTTCTATTCAAGGGTGTCCCACAACTCCTTGGCACATAAGTCTTCACTATGGATATCAAATAAAGCATCAGACATACCGTTCAGAATGTGACATTTGCATATGTAGTCATTGTTTTCCCACTTCTGTATCCTCCTTATCTCTTCAATTGTCTCAACAGCACCTTCCTTAGCCTCCGTCGGTCTTGGAGTAGTCAGTACGTATGCTGCTTTCAGAGTAGTCACCATGAAGTGCATCTTCTTCTTCCAACGCCTGAAGTCGAAACCTTCAAACTTCTCCAGCTTGACAAACTTAGTGGTCATCTCGCGGATTGAGTCACCCATCTCCAGGAATAGAAATTATCAGTTCGATTGTAAGATAAAGTAGGGTTTGTAGTGGAGATGTGGATACCAACTTGGATCGTGTGAACACTTTCCGAACTAATATTTATACCCTATGCCTGGTTACAAGAAATTCAGCCTAGGATAATCTAAGATGACACTTACGATTCTAGGCACAGAAATCGTAAGCCAAATTGTTAGAAAGATTATGCGAGTGTATGAAGAACAACGAGAGATAAATTTTGTGTGTCCCTTCTAAAATGAAGCGTCGTTTATATATAATAAACGAGATTAGGGTTTCATTAGGGTTGGGCCATCATGAGTTCCTTTAGAAGCAAGTCAGGGTAATCCGGATTTTAATGAGGATTTAGGGTTTCCAAAACTGACGAATTTCGTCAGTTTTACAATAATCACCCTCAAGAATTCGTTTTTCCCACTATGTTCCCATGAGTTCCTTTGAAAGCAAGTCAGGGTAATCCAGCGGGACCGCAGCCAGGGGCTCTGCCCCTTGGACCCCGCTAGGGGCGCTGCCCCTAGACCTCGCCAAAGGGGCGCCGCCCCTTTGGAAACCCCGGACCCAGGGGCGCTGCCCTCAGACCCCTGACTTGTCGTCGAACCGGCTTCTAATTTGATCTTATACATGCGTGCACTCCGCACAAACCCGTATATATATATATATATATATATATATATATATATATATATATATATATATATATATATATATATATATATATATATAGATTTAGGTTCTATGGAAAACAAAAAACCCTAAAAAAACAACCTTTTTTTTGAATTTTTTTATGAAAAAATCGCTGATTTTAATACAAAATCGCTGAAATTTTTTTTATTAAAAAAAATTGATTTTTTATTTTTTTTCAGCGATTTTATTAAAAAAGTTGCGATTTTTTCATAAAAAAATCAAAAAAATTTTTTGTGATCTTTAAGTATTTTTTTTATGCATTTTTATGATTTTTAGGGTTTTTTTAGGGTTTTTTTGTTTTCCAAATAACCCTTCCCTATATATATAATATATATATATATATATATATATATACATATATATATTAGAGTACAAATTATGAAGCTCTTTAGCTCACATGTTAGTTCCAGTTATATAAAGTGATATGGTGACACTAAAATCACCAACTTAGAGCTAAGAGATACATTTTTCGAATATGAAGTCTAGGGTAATCAATTTTGATTATCTTTTAATTTTATAATATTGTCTTTTTAAAAGAGATTTTATTTATTTATTAATAACTTTTTTTTAATCTTTTGGTATATATTTCACATACATGAGATATAGGTAAAGTTCCTAAACGCTCAATTTTCGGTGAATAAAAGACGTTGTGAAGTTTCTTGAAAAATGCAATACAAAAACGGATATGACAAGTATTTTGTACATTCAACAAACTTAATGATTAGATGTATTTTGCAGTTCTATTGAATTCCAATTTAAATTATCATTTGTGGCGCATGCCTTTAAGAAGATGATCTCGTACCTGCCAACAAAAGAAAACCCAATGTCAAATTTGGTCATTCAATTGAAGTGGCATCCATGGTTTGGGAGGCTGAAATGAAAACAGATCATATATTTAAAACGTATAAAGACAAATTTGACAATCATG